TGTTTATTTTCCATTTCTTTCATTCATTTCGGGGTCATCATATTTTAAGTGTCCGTCTTGTAGGTAGTATGTTAACATTCATTTTGTTTTCCAGGCGAAACACTAGCTTTACAATTAAAGAGTACTTCTATATAAGGTTATATATCAATCTTATACTTTTTATTGAATGACCTGTTTTATGTTCTCTTTCTCCAATTTTCTGCTCCTATTAAGTATGTTATTAAGCGTATTTTTGTGACTATCTATTAGCATGCATTTTGATTAATTACATCAAGTACAGTAGCCTTTCACTTCCCTCATAGTGCTAAGAACCTTTAGAACACTATTTTCCCTATTACTGCCCCATTTTCACATTTACTGTGATCAAGCATTTTTTTCAATATTATTTTTCAAAGCTATGATTGTTTTTAAGCCAATATTAATATTTTCCATTTGCCTTTTCATTTTTTCTGAGAAGTCTTATCTTGATCATTATACTTCTGCCCTAAAAGAAGGTTCCTGTGACTTCTTTAGATAACATTTTGGCAAAAATAAATCTTGTAAATTGTTTGTGTGAAATTATTTCTTTTTTTTTTGAGAATATTTATGGTTTTTTCCTGCACTTTAGTATGTCATTCCACTTGTCCATGGCTTCATTATTTCTACCGAGAAACTATAGTAGTCTTTTTATTATTTTTGGAAAGTTTTATTTTTTATTTTCTTTTAATATTCTCTGTTAACTAAGATTTTCAACATTCTTATTATTGTGCTTAGATTGTCTTTGTATTTACCCTATTTGGTGATTCCGGAGCTTCCATATGAACGTTGGATCTGTTACCAGCTTTTGTAAATATTTTGTCCTATTCCTTCTTCGTTTCAGTCTGTCTCATTTTTCTATCTCATGTCTTTGACTCAATTTACATTATTTTCCCTTTCACTCTGGTCCACAGTCTTCCAATATTATTTTTTTTCAGTTTTGTATCTTTGTATATTTCTATTGACCGCTTTTCCCTTTCACTATTATAAACCCTGCCTTATTGCTTGTCTACTGTTACCCCATCTGATGAATTCTTAATTAGATTTGTTATTCTTTAGATATAAATTCCAGTTAATTATTCTCCATATATAATTATTGTGAATTCTCATTTGTACATATGCTCTTTTACCTTTCTATTTAACTATATTAATATCTAATACTAATAACTACATTACACGATGGGTCATTAGTATTTATGAGTAAACTTATATTTGGATCACTTCTGGGTGGGTATGATCTTTTTCATGCCAGTAGTGAGTGTATGTTTCTCTTAATTCTTGGCCCATGGTGGTTTTGACATGTTCTTCTGTTTTTTATTAGTACAGACATTGAATTAAACTATTAATTTTCTTGGTATATTATGTTTTGTCTTCCCAGAGAGCTTAAGCCAATTCTTTTGCTAGGTAATCAAAAGTAGTGCTGATATCCAATCAATAAAAATTATGCTGAGTAGAGTTGTGATTGGTCATAATCAGTTTTGTGCTTTTCCTACCTAGCCAGCAATGAGATCTTAGGATTCTTCTACCTTTCCTTTTAAGACCTGATGAGTTTTATATCATACACATTTAATAATGGATCACAAGCTTTTTTAAACCATGATTGTTTCATTAAAATAATGACAAAAATTACCTAGATACAACTTATTAAGAAATTAGATTGTGAAAATTGGAAAAAACCCTAAATAGAAATATGAACAAAATCCTACTAATTTTTTCGTGATACTATTATAATTAAACTTCAAAAAGAATTCTAAGTAGATAGCTACTTGCAAATCTACTTTTTAATACTTACGGGACAAATGATACTAATATACACAAACATTCCAGAAATTTAGAAAAAGAATTTTTCACTCAATTTTGAGGCAAGCTAATTGATGCTTTTCTGCATAATATATGTGCATAAATATATTACAATAACATCATATACCATACATATATACATATATATTAACTTTGTTTTATATAATACTTGGAGTAATGGTGATATTTCAATCATGCCTCCAACTGTGTCATGATCAAATTAAAATATTTAGATATACTTCAAAATTATCTTTTTTGTGTTGGAACATCAATTTCTCTTCAGTTATTTTGAAATATACAATAATATTATTCCACTATATCAGTCAAGTTCAGTCAACACTAGAACTTATTCTCTATCTAATGTATGTTTGTCCATTAACTAATTCTCTTCATGCCCACCCACCCTTCCGCTCTGGTAACTACACTCTATCTCTACTTCCATGAGATCAACTTTTTGTAGCTTCTCACATAAAGTGAAACACGTGGATATTTGTCTTTCTGTGCCTTGCTTATTGTTAACATATGATCTCTGCTACCATCCAGGTTACTGCAAATGTAGTTTTTCCATCTTTTATGGGTTGAAGAATATTCAATTATCATATATACCAAATTTGCTTATCTTTTTTCATTCATTAATGGATACTTAGGCAAGTCCATAATTGGGCTATTTATTCCTTTCTTGGGATAATTAGTAGTCCGAATGCTGAATCTTTAGTTTTTGAGAACCTTCATAATATTTTCCATAAGCTGTTACTAATTTACTTCTGAACGACATATATAAGGAGTCCCTTTTCTCTACCTTTTGCCACTTTTTGTCTTCTTTATTTCGAATATTACAGGGATCAACATTTTTGGCTTACATAATGCCTTTGTATAGTCCTTGAGTCAAGTTTGAGTCTCCTTCACCGAAGTGTGCATTGGTGCCCCGTTAAGGTTTGGGTGAAATTTTACTCATCCCCTTCTTCCCCCTCCCCTACTTTGATCATTAAGTTATCCATATGTGCACATAAGAGTTTGTCATTAGTTTTAATTAGTATTGATACAATATTGTGCTTAATCTCCATCTTGTGACAATTTCACTGGAGAAGAATGGCTCCACTTCATCCCAGGTTGTTACAAAGATACTATACCATTTTATGGCTTGAGTAATACTCCATGTTATAACATGTCATTTATATCCACTCCATGTATCTTATGGGTATGGGTCATTTGGGAAAATTCCTCTTCTGTCATTTTGGTTTCCTGATTTTGGTTGGTGTCTGTTTCTAGGGGGCTGGTGCTCGTCTTTGAGGGTGTGTTTTCCATTTGGTTCTTCATATTTCCAGAGTTTCTTCGCTGATTTCTTCCCATGTTGATCAGTTGTTGTTTCTTTCCTTTAGATTTTCATTTGGGTATTCACAGGCCTTGTTTAGTTTCTGAGCCCTTAGGTGGTGTCTGTGTGTGAGATTCGACCACTCCCTGTATAATCAGTCAGTAGGTGCCATGAATAGGGTGTGCAGGATATCTTCTCTGTTAGTAGGTGGAACTTGCTTGGAGGAACAGGCTATGCTGTTGTTTTTGTGTCCTGTTATTAGCTCTTGTTCCTATAGAGCGGCACTCTAGCCCCTCAGGTGGTGGGTGGGGCCCTGGGTCTTCCAGGTGTGTCCTTTTTTCCCCCTCAGTGAAGGCTGGTCTAGGAGTGAGTCTTGGTGGAGCTGGGTTGGGTAAGCCTCCCCTCAGGCACCACCAATGTTGTTAGCAGGGGTCAAAGTTCTGTTCTCTGCTTCCAGGCAAAGCTGTCAGGGAGGGGCTGGAATGGCCCCGCTCAGCCAGAAAGTCTGCATGTGGGGGTGGGGCTGTCTGAGACCCACAGTCTGGAGCAGGCCTGCCTTCTTTCCACAGTCCTCAACTCTGGAGCTACTCCTGGGCCTCTGCCACCAGGTCAAACCACATGCCTCCAGGCCTCCCCTGCCTGTGATGCCAGCCAGGAGGTTCCCTGCACAGGAACGCCACCTAGGCTGGGTGCACAGCCTCCCTTTGCGGGGAGGGTTCCCATCTAGGATGCTGATCTGCCCCTGAAGCCACACACACCTCAGTAGGCTGTTCATGTGTATCCTTTCTGTGCCCCAGGCAATGCTAGACCTTGGTGCAGGAGATCTGGTCTGCAGGTCTGCAGGTCTAACATCTGGGTCCCAGAGTTCAAACTATATCCCCACCAGGGAGAGGAGTGCCAGTCCCAATTCACCCACAGGGAGCCCAGGCTGGGTCTATGTCTCTCAGCCTCAGGGTCTGCCCCGTTCTCTTGTGATCACCGTGTCAACAGCACCTGGGAGGGCTGGCGGGTAGGGAGCTCATAGTCTGAGTTCCCCTTAGTCAGCTGTAGGGCCCCCAAAGGGAAGGTCCCGTTCCCTGGAGGTGCCTCCGGCTGGTGGCTGTATTGTCTCTCTGGGCAGCCATGGGTAGGGGCAGTGGAGGGGAGAAGGAGGCAATATGGTGCCTGCCATGTGGCTCAGGTCTGTGCACACGGAGGTGCACAGAGGGAGTTGGGAGCTTGGTACAGTGTCTGCTACTGGCTTACCACTCACTGGCGGTGGCTGTCGCTGGACTGGTGTCCGCAGGTCTCTCCACCCGCTGGGAAGCCCACCAACTGTCCGAGATGCAGGGGAGGGGAAACAGCTGACCCACCTACCCTTCCTGGTGGTCTCCAGGCTGCTCTGGCAGTCCCAGCTTCCAGTTCTCCTCTGTGACCTCCTCCTGTGGAGTCTCCCGTGGTCTCAGGTACCCCTCCTTCCGACCTTCGTCTGATGTAGGCTCGTCTTCCTGTTTCTTTCTTCTAATATCTGCTAGAAACTGTCTTTTCTGCAGAGACACTCTGTCTGGCGGTGTTTCTCATCTGCCATCTTGATTCTCTCCTCTGTATAAATTAATTCTTAACTAGCCATGAATGTTAACGTGTGTAGAAAGTCAATTTGTAATTTTATCAGAAAACCAGGAAGCAGTTTGCTTTAGCAATATGCTAGTTTTTTCTTTTCATATGTTCCAAATTTCTGATTTCTCAGGGGTATGGAAGCTATACCAAGAATTACAGTGAGGAACGAGCTAAATTTTCTCCCACTGCAGAGGAGAACTTAATTGGGAACAAAAATTTTAAATATGAAAATAATCTGTTTTGCTGCTAACTCTTTCTCCTCTTCTTATTTTTCTAGGTTTGAAGCCCTGTTTACTGAACTAGAAAAAAGAGGGAAAGAGCTGGGAATTGCTGGCTTTGGTGTGTCTCTCCCTAACCTGGAAGAAGTTTTCCTTAAGTAAGTGATAATGTGTGAGAATGAAGAGCAAGGAGAAACTCATCCTCTAAAATTATATTTGATTTTGAAAGCAATTCCCACCCCATATGTAATGAAGAAATAGTATTATATTGTTAGATATGCTAATGTATGAATCCCAGACAAATCGCTTTGTGCACCTTGCTCCCTGGTGGGCTGATGATGCTGTGAGTTGTGGGACTAGAGTGAGAGCAGCAATGCAGCAAGCTGGTGAGACAGGATGTTCAGTGCCATCCCTGGGGCTCTGGAAACTGTAGAAAACAGCTAAGACCAGGTACTGACTACAAGGGGAATATCGGACAAGAAGATTATATGTGAAGCTTTTGGATTCAGACGTGGATACCTGTGCCTTTCAAAGGTAGAAGTTTTGGGATTGGCCTAGAGCACAAAGTATGTGGTTGTAGAAAAAGCCCTGTGTTTAAATTGGAGGTTTTAGTGGGCGTAACTTTAAAATTTTGATCTAATCATGGCATTGTAACCTTTTTAACTTGTCTATGCTTCGTATTCTAAGATTACCTTGCACTGTGTGAAAGTTCAAGGAGAAGTTACCCAAGAAATTCAGGATATTGCTAAAGGAAGTTGGTTAATTGTCAAAAGTCTTTACAAAGTATTCACTATGGTCTGCACTTATTTCTCTCAGTCTTAGGAACAATTTTGTCGGTCTCAGTGCCTATGTAGAGTAATGACTCTCAGGCTAACGATGTAAATCTAACATATGCTGTATGTATCTTTATACATATAATCAGAGTACCACGTGATTGACTTGCAGTAAGAAGTCGGAATAGCCAAGGGAAGCTGATACTCATTTCCCCTGCAACTGGTTTGTCAATTATCTCAAGTGCTATTTGTTTGAAATGCTTTCTTTATGATTCTTAGATAAACTGATGTCTCTTTCCAGAATTTCTAATGCAGCCGATAGATACATGCTTTCTATTCCTATGGAAATTCTACACTAGCTAAAATACACCCCATCTTGATATTTCTTTTCCAAAAGTATACAACAGTTCTCTCTTGTTATGTATGAATATTTGCACTACCTTGTAATTAATGTTTTATTGACAGTTATTTAGCTTATTTGACTCCGGAGTTTTCCTCAGAGGTTATCATCATATTCACCTGAAAAAACTGTGTTTTATTAGTCTTATTATCTTTATTTATTTTTCTTTTTAGAAAATTGTTATATAAATATGATTTGAGGTGAAAATTTTATATAGTTAAAATGAAGTTGTAAGACTTTTACAACTTATTTCTAAGTAAATAAAGCAAAAATTTATGGCATTCCAAGAAAAAAATCTGTAAATTCACAGTGGTGTGAGAATCTTTAATTCAATTCTCACAGAAACTGCAGATGAGGTAGACAAAATTTTAATAAGCAAACAGAGTACTTGAATGATATAATTTACCAAGTTAATTTTTTCTCTCTTATTCTCTTTTTACACATGTACATGTGCACACACACAAACACACACTGACCCCCCACACATTCATACACGTCTTTGTCCTTACTAAATAGTAAGAACATTTTAGAGAATGAGTCCACCAAGATGACAAACTAGGAGATCATTCTTCTGCCATATGCTCATTCTTCTCCCATAAAAGCAACAAAAATAATGAGTAAACATATATATACCAATGAAAATAGCTGTGGGAGAGCTCTAGAGTACTTACTACATTTTGGAGAACGAGTTTAGCAAGATGACAAAGTAGGAGATCATTCTTCTCCCTAATGCTCATTCTTCTCCCATAAAAGCAACAAAAATAATGAGTAAACATATACATACCAATTAAAATAGCTATGGGAGAGCTCTAGAGTACAATGAAGAAACTGCAGTAATCCAGAGAAGCACATAAACATAACTGCATCAAAAAGTATAGGAAGTATGTTACCTACAACAACCATCCCCTAGTATGGCACAGCTTGGTGCCAAGTGGGATCTCCTCGTGTCACCTCCCACCGTGTGGAAAAGAACAGGAGGATCCCAGCAGCCCTTTTGACTGTTGCAAACAATCACAGCTTTTGCCACCAAGGCTCCTCTGCAGTTGATGCTGATGCTGATAGATCTGCCCAAAGGTCACACTACTGTGTTCTACCGCCCAGAGAAGAGCTGCCACTGTGCCTCCTTAGAGAAGGAGCAACCAATGTACCACCTCAGAGCCACAGCTGCCATTTCCCACTCCTGTAACCCAAAGCATGCCCCAGATTCTGGCCACATAGGGACTCTGCATGTACCCCCACCCTGGGCACCAGTGCCACTACTGCATGGGGCACATGTGTGCATCAGACACTGGTTCTACTGCCACTGTGGGCATGCTGATATCCTGGACTCCAGAACCAAGGGAGTCCCTTCAGCTATAACTTAACCTTGTGTGTGGGGGAAAGAAAATAGGAGGACTTCAACAGCTTCATCCAGTTAGGACTCTAACACCCTGTGTCACCACCACAAACACCTGAAGACTTGAGAGCTATGAACTCTCACAGTCTTTGATGATGCTTGTGTCAGCCAAAGGAGCTGCACAAAAATTATGCTGCTGCACCCTCCCAGGAGCCAGACCACCATACCCTACATAGCTATCATCATGGTAGCTATGGTGAGTACCTACATGGTACTCACCTGTAGGTGGAGGTATTTCATCACCAAAGCCAGTCCATAAAGTCTGGAAGAGGTAAATGTTTTTTCAAACACACAGACATTAATGCAAATCTACAAGAAATATGAAAAATCAAAGAAACAGGATACCACCAAAAGAACATACTTTTCTAATAACTAACCTCAATGAATGGAAATGTATAATTTTCCTGACAAAGAATTCAAAATAATTGTTTTAAGAATGCCGGTGGGAGGATCAAGATGGCGGACGAGAAACACCGGAAGACAGAGTGTCTCTGCAGAAAAGACAGATTCTAGCAGAAATTAGAAAAAAGAAGCAAGAAGATGAGCATACAGGGGACGAGGGCCAGAAGGCGGGGTACCTGAGACCCTGGGAGACACCACGGGAGGAGGCTGCGGAGGAGAACTGGAAGCTGAGACCGCCGGAGCAGCCCGGAGATCAGCGGGAAGGGTAGGTGGGTTAGCCGTTTCCCTTCCCCTGCATTAGGGACTGCTGGTGGGCTCCCCAGCAGGTGGAGAGACCTGCGGACACCAGCCCAGAGACGGCCACCGCCAGCTAGTGGTGAGACTGTAGCGGACGTGGCACCAGGCTCCCAACTCCCTCCGGGCACCTCTGTGTGCACAGACCAGAGCCGCACGGCAGGCACCATATTGCCTCCTCCTCCCCTCCGCCGACCCTACCCCCGGCTACCCAGAGAGATAATACAGCCACCAGTGTGAGGAACCTCCAGGGAACGGGACCTTCCCTTTTGGGACCCTACAGCTGACTAAGGGGAACTCAGACTATGAGCTCCCTACCCGCCAGCCCTCCCTGGTGCCGCTGGCATGGTGTTCCCAGGAGAATGGTGCAGGCTCAGAGGCTGAGACACATAGACCCAGGGCTCCCTGTGGGTGAATTGGGACCGGCACTCCTTTCCCTGGTGGGGATACAGTTTGAACTCTGGAACCCAGAGGTCGGACCTACACCCAGATCCCGTCCACCGAGGTGTCGCATTGCCCGGGGCACAGAAAGGATATACGTGAACAGCTTACTGAGGTGTGTGTGCCTTCAGGGGCAGATCAGCATCCTAGAGGGCAACCCTCCTCCCAAAAGGAGGCCGTACGCCCAACCCAGGTGCGTTCCTGCGCAGGGACGCTCCCCGCCGCGTTCACATCCTGGAGGCCTTGGTGCGTGTGGTCTGGCCTGCTCTGGCAGAGCCGAGGGTTAAGATGCGGATTGGTGGAGGGTGAAAGAGGCAGGCCCGCCTCGATCTGGGGTCTCAGACAAGCGCTCACCCGCCACATGGCCAGACTTTTTGGCTGAGCGGCGGCCATTCCAGCCCCTCCCTGACAGACTTGTCATGGATGCAGAGAACAATCATTGACCCCTGGTTGTTAACTGCGTTTGTGGTGCCTGAGGGGAACTACCCACCAGCTCTGCCCAGAAAAGAGCATTAACAGGGACATAACAAAACAACAGCATAAGCCTGTTACACTCTAGCAAGCGCACTACTGAACATGGGATGCATCCTGCACAGCTTTTTTTCACTGCACCCACTGACTCAGTATACAGAGTGATGAATCTCACCCACAGACACCACTCCGTAGTGTCAGAAACTAAACAAGGCATCGCAATTATACATAAAAAACTAAAGAAAGAAAACAACTGATCAACATGGAGGAACAGCGAGAGAGCTCTGAGAGGAATGCCAACATGAAAACACACCCGCAAAAACGAGCACAGCCCCCTAGAACAGACACAAACCAAAATCAAGGAAACAAAAATGACAAGAGAGGAATTTCGTATGGTGGATATAAGGAAACACTCACTGACCTGCACAAAACTCCAATAAACAAATAACAAGACCAAAAAAGCCTACAGGATCTGGAAAAAAAGTTCACTAAAAGAAATACAAATGAGAAAAGTTAACGACTCCTGGAAAGAAATCAATCAGGGAACTACAAAATACAGTGGAATTAGGTCTCAAGAAGGTAGATCAAAAGAAGAAAGAATCTCACGAGATTGAAGATAACACCTCCAACTTAAATAAACCTGTCACAAGAGATAGAGCAGAGAAACAAGAGAAGAAAGCAAGCCCTACAAAGAGATGTGGGATTATGAAGTAGAAAGAACCTAATCAGTGAGGGTCATAGAGCTTACCAAGAGGGAGGAAGACAACACTCAAGGGGTTGGACACAGCTATTTGAAGATATAATAGGAGGAAAATTTCCCACGGCCTTTGCTAAAATCTCTATTACAAGTCAAGAAGCCACGAGCGAACCTTGGAGTTTCAATGCACACAGGAAGACGTCAGACATGCAGTCTATCAGACTGACCAAAATATCAACTAAAGAGGCCCTCTAAGAGCTGTAAGATCGAAAGAAGCAAGTGACATACAAGGAAAAGCAATTGAATAAACACCAGACTTCTCTAGATGAGATCCTTTTAAGAAAGGAGAGACTAGCCCCGATTCTCACTCTTTCTGAAGACAAGACCAATGCCCAGCCTAGAATTCTATATCCTGACGCAAAACTGAGCTTCATATGTGAAGGAGAAATAAAGACATTCTCAGAAAGCGAAAAAAACGTCTCAGAGAAATTCACCAAGACAAGACCAGCGCCTACAAAAGTACTCAAAACAGTGTTACGGACGGAACACATAATGAAAACTCACGAATATCAAAACACCAAAACAAAAGATTTATCAAGGGCAGGACTTTACAATGGCTCAAGAGGAAATCAAAGCCAACAACATCCACCCAACAGAATGAATCATAAAGTCTCCTGTACTAGTCAGTGTCTCTCACTAACGTGAATGGCCTTAAATCTCCACTCAGAGACATAGTTTGCTGAAATGATAAGAAACATACAAGCCAAGTAGTTGATGCTAGGTCTTCAGGAAAACACAGTCTAACTGCGAAGGATGCATATAGACTAAAAAGTACAGATGGTGGAGATCAGTAGTTCAGCAAGTGGATAGCCAAAAGAAGGGCTGCGTGGCCAGTTCTACATTTTCGAGACGATTTCAGTTTTTAAACCAACAAAAGTATGGAAAGACAAAGAGGCGGTCATTAGTATAATGGTGGAAGGCGCACAGTTCAACAAGAAGAGATAACAGATTTAAATGTTATATTGCGCCAACTTAGGTGCACCTCAGATTCATAAAGCAAAGAACTTACTTGGCAATCTAAGCAAATGATTTAATAGCACTCGCACTAATCACGGATTTCACACCCACGACAGAACGAGGATAGATCCTCCAAGCGACAAATTAATAAGAAATAATGACATTAAAGGAAAACCCTGGAATAAATTGGGTTTTACTGACAGCTAACAGGAACTTACCCAAAATCATCTGCATATCATTCTTCTAATCAGTCACAGGCACATTCTCTGAAGAGGTGTGACCGATATCTCTCAGGGACACAAGTAATCAAAAATTTACATATATAGAAATCTTACCATGGACTTCTCAGATCAACGAGTGGCAATGAACAGTAGAATCAACCCTAACAGAAACTTCAGCATCTCTACATCGAAAAAACGTGGAAATGGAACAACCTCCTACTAAATGAGTGACTTCATCTGTAATGAAGAAATCAAGAGCGAAATAAAAAAAATTCTGTTGATAGGAGAAGGACATTGAGAGACAGCGTTAATCATACATCCTCTGGACACAGCTACAGCAGCTTTCTTGAGAGGAAAGTTGTATCTCCTAAATGTTCCGATAAAAAAACCAAAAGTCAGAAAAGATCACAAAAGTAACAATCGTAACGAATGATGACTCAGAAGAGCTGGAAAGAAGAAGAACGGACCAACTCCAACCCAGCAGAAGAAGGAAGCAACAAGATCAGAATCAGGGAATAAACGAGATTGAAACAGGGAAAGGTATTCAAGTGAGCATTAATAAACAAAAATCTGCGTTCTTGAAAAATAAACATATTGACCGCACTGGCTAAGCAACGAAAAAGCAGAAAAGAAGAAATCATCTGAAAAGCTCCATCAGGACAAAGCAAGGAGGATCTATCAAACTTGACTCCACAAGCATACAGAATATAATTTATCTGAGTAACTACAAATAATCTTTATCACGCAAAAAGGAAAATGTGCGAAGGAAATGCGAAAATTTTACGAAACACACAGCCTTCCCTAGCGCGTCAGACCAGGAAGAAATAGATTTCCCTGAACAGACCAATCTCAAGAGCTAAAATAAAAACAGCATAAAAAAGTTCTCCCTAAAAGAAAAGCCGTCTAGATGGTTTCACACCCGTATTTTACACATTACACTAAGAACTAGCCGTATCTTGCAGAAACTATGTCCACAACATCGAGAAGGACCGGAACCTCCGGACACCTTTTATTAATGAATTACTATACCTCTGAACCAAAACCAGGAGAAGGAGCAACAAAAAAAGAAAACTAACGGACAATATCCTAATGAATATAGATGCAAAAATTTTCAACAAATCTTAGCTAACGAACTCCAGAAACACTTAATCAAAAAATATCCTCACCACAAGTGCGGCTTGATCCAGGGATGCATGCGATGGTTAAAGTGTACGTAAATCGTGATAAATGCAATTCACACATAAACAGAAGCAAAAAAAGACCGACATGATTCTTGTCAAATAGATTTGAAGAAAACTTTAATACTTAACACCCTTTCGATGATACGGAACACTAAGAGAATAGGGCATAGAAGGACATATCTAAACAAATGTAAAGCCCATATACGACAGACCCTAGCCAACATCATAGTCGAATGGGGAAAATGTGCAAAATCATTCGTCACTTGAGTGACTGGTTTACAGACAAGGGATCCCACTATCTTCCACATACTGTTCAATTTAGGCTGGAGGTCCTGGTACAGCAAGTTAGACCAGAAAATGCGAATTAAAGGTATCCAAATAGGGGCAGAAGAGAGTAAACGTTTCACGTTTGATGACTGATATGATTACTATTATCTATGAAACCAAAGATCACCAAGAACTCCTGAGAGCTGATTAAATGAATTTATAAAGTGCTGCGGATTACAAATAAATACACAGAAATCAAAGCAGTTCATATACGCGAAACGATCTAATTGAGACACAAAATCAAAGACTCAATTCCCTATCACAAACATGCAAAGTAATTAAGATACTAGAACTTGTATACTTTAAGCCAAGGATTGGTAAGTAGATGTTTTACCTATACATGAGAATATGAACACTGGATAGTAATATGTGATCAGAGGTGGTAAAAAGATGGAAATCGCCATACATGCTCACTCGGATCGGGAGACTTCAAACATCTCAACAATGTCTATACTACCCAGACTGATCGTACAGATTCAATGCTTACTATTAAATCCCATCGCATTCCTGTCCGATGATATAGAAAAATAAGTTTTTATGCTTCGTATGCGAACCAAAGAAGACTCCCGAAGCATCAAAAGCAATTCCGTATGGCAACAACAACACCAAAAAAATGGGAGGCATTAATATGCCAGATTCAGAATTACTACAAAGCTGCTAGTAAATTAAAAAACAGATCTCGTATTGGCACAAACAATAGGAATTGACCAGTGGAACAAGATCTGAGAATCTCGATATAAAACCATCCTGCATATAGCATCTAATCTGTTGACAAAAGACAACAACAGTGAGCTGGAAAAGAATCCCTTTTCAATAAATGGTGCTGGCAAAAACTGGATAGCACCGTAGAAGGCTGAAAGCAGACGCCCACTTTCACCTCTCACAAAATCAAACTCATACTGGGTAACCAGAACTTAAACTAGGTAGTGAAATCTATTAGCAATTTCTAGAAGAAAGGAAGTGGAAACCACTCTCCCTAGACATGCGAGCCGCTAGGCAAAAGAGTTTATGAAGAAGTTCCCCAAAGGCAATGCAAGCAGCAACAAAAATAATAAAATGCGGACATGATCCAACTACAAGCTTCTGCACAGCCACAAGAAATACGTCGTGCAAGTTAAATAAGAACCAAAAAACAGAAAAATTTGGGGAATTTTTTTAAATGTTTGCTATCCTATGTATCTGATAAGCGCGATGAGTAACTAGAATATATTAGAACTCATGAAAATCAGGCAGAAATCAAATAACCCTATTAAAAGGGCAATAGGACTTGAACAGAAACTGTTGTCTAAAGAAGACAGAGAAGGTCCAACAAACATATGCAAAATGCCTTAACATTCTCTAATCATCAGGAAATGCAAATCAAAACCACAATGATGATATCACTCCTAACTACAGTGAGAAAAAATGGGTGGGCGCTTTATCAAAAAGCGTTCCAAAGCCATAAATGGCTGGTAGATATGGAGCGAGAGCGCACTCCGTACCTGCTGGTGGATCTGCAAATAGTTACCTTCTGTGGAAAGCAATCATGGAGATCCTAAAGCATGAAGGAATCTACCAGTTTGATCCAGCGAATCCTATTATCTCGGGCATCTAGGTCAAACAGAGCTAATGACACGTCTCAAAAAGACAGCTGCACGGTCGAATGTTCGTATCAGCAGCGCAATTCATAATTGCGGAAGGCTGTGGAACAGCCCAATGTGCCGCATCCATCAGAATGGATTGAAGAAAGTGGTATATGTTACATGGAGTACTATTCAGCTCTTAGAAGGAAACAATGGTGATGATATAGCAGCATTAGATGTTCCGTAGTTTAATCTGGAACTGATACTATTAAGTGAAGTTTCCCAAGAATGGGAAAAACAAGCACCAGTATATACTTCACAGCAAATTGCGGTATTAACTTGACACTGCACTGCTAGGGTACATAGGTATACAGTAATAGGGTTATGGGCAGGTGGCGAGGGGGGAGGGGGCGTGTTATATTAGAAGCCAAAAAGCTATTTTTATAATTTGAGAAAAAAAGTTTTTTTGAAAGGATGTGGCACCAATTCTGGGGATGGTGCATAGTTGGAGACTCAGATTTTTGGTGGAGGGGGGAATGGTCATTTATTGAAACCTTAAAATCTGGCTTCGCTCAGTAATATGCCGAAAAAAAAAAAAAAAAAAAGAATGCTCCACATGCTGTAAGAAAACTCAGGTAAACAACTCAGGAAAAATAATGTGTGATCAAAATACGAAGTTCAAAAAAGATATAGAGATCATGAAAAAGAACCAAACAGAAATTCTGGAGCTAAAGTATACAGTAAGTGAAATTTAAAAAAGCAGTAGAGAGCTGCAATAAGCAGACTTGATCATGCAGAAGAGACAATCTGCAAACTCAAAGGAAAGTCATTTAAACTTATCTAGTCAGAGGGGAAAAAAAAGAAAGTGAACCAATATATGAAATCCAAAAAGGAAAAGAGAGAGAAATAGGCAGAAAGTTTATTTAAATAAATAATTGTGGAAAACTTCCTAAGTATTGGGAAAGGAACACACATTCAAATTTATAAAGCTCAAAAAGCTCCTAAAGTATCAACCCAAAGAAGACTACTCCAGAACACACTATAATCAAATATTCAAAATTCAAAAACGAAAATATTTTGAAAGCAACAAGAGCAAAACTACACATCACATATAAGGGAAGCTTCATAATACCATCACTGGATTTTTCAGTAGAAAGCTTGCAGGCCAGGAGAGAATGAGATGATATAGTCAACATAATACTGAAATTTTTAAAAAGTCATCTAAGAATACTATACATGGGGGGGCAGCAGACTGACCTGCAGCAGGCCTGCTTCGGCCGCTTCTCCGGCCTGGGGTCTCTTGGCGTCTGTTTGCTCAACCAGGCACCATGGGGAAGCGCGACAGTCGGGTGGCCTATATGAACCCAATAGGAATGGCCAGATCAAGGGGTCCAGTCCAGTCTTCAGGGCCAACGATCCAGGATTATCTGAATCGACCAAGGCCTACCTGGGAAGAAGTGAAAGAGCAACTAGAGAAGAAAAAGAAAGGTTCCAAGGCTTTGGCTGAATTTGAAGAAAAAATGAATGAGAACTAGAAGAAAGAACTAGAAAAACACAGGGAGAAACTGTTAAGTGGAAGTGAGAGCTCATCCAAAAAAAGACAGAGAAAGAAAAAAGAAAAGAAGAAATCCGGTAGGTATTCATCATCTTCATCAAGCTCTGATTCTTCCAGCAGTTCTGAAGATTCTGAAGATGAGGATAAGAAACAAGGAAAATGGACAAAGAAAAAGAAGAACCATGCACATAAATCTTCTGAAAGCTCTGTGTCAGCAACTGAATCAGACAGTAAGGATAGTTTAAAAAAGAAAAAGAAGTCAAAGGATGCAACTGAGAAAGAAAACGACATTAAAGGACTCAGCAAAAAAGAAAAAAAAGATGTATCCTGAACATAAACCTTTATCATCTGAGTCCTTATCAGAATCAGATTATATTGAGGAGATAAGAGCAAAAAAGAAGAAAAGCAGTGAAGAACAAGAAAAGGCAACAGAAAAAACAAAAAAGAAAAAGAAACATGAAACACAGTAAGAAGAAGAAAAAGAAGTCTGCTAGTTGAAGTCCTGATTCACCTTAACATTAAGAAAAAAAATCAGGATTCCCTTATAAACGAAAGTGCAATGTCTAAGGAAATTTCAACTGTGAAAATTATGACATTTTTACTAAAATGCATGAATTTTCTTGTTTGTAGAATTATTCCTGGACTATTCAGTAGCCACTCAGATTCTGCTGTGTGAAAAGGCCATAATTACTGCCCGTTGCTTGAACATCTATTTTTTCTCTTCCAGTGCTTGATAACTCTGGGAGATAATATACTGCAGTTGTACTAGTGGTTAAGATATTTGGGAATAAAATTAATATTTTTGACTAGAAACATCTAATGATAAATCAACAGAAATTGAATCTGGGTACATCTTTAAGATGTAATCATAAATGACCAGATAACTCTAGTTAAAATTTTTTAAGTAGGGGTTACATTTATATTTCAAAATCCTTACTCTGTAGATAAGTGTATTTTAATTTTCCCCCTTATATACCTTTTATTTACTTGGGGAAGGAGCTTTAGGGGGGTGGGGTGGTTTGCTATCTCTTGAGCTAGCAGAATAGCGTGCCCTTTGATCCTCACACATCCTGTTTGTGGACACAGTAGCCATGTTTTATGGGGAGGTCAGAGTTGGATACCAGTAGTCTTGCCCTTTACTGGGCTTAGTGACACCTTGGAGTCTATTGTATGCTGCTTTGAGTGAATCAGAGAAACAGCCCTTTGCAGCATGAGAAAGTCCTAGAAGCTCTGGGATTTACCTCCACTTCAATAATACTGAATATTTTTCAGTATTAGAATGTGTTATGTCATTTAAATTCATTTTGATTATGCTTTGGCTTTGGAGAGGAATCATTTCAAATAGACACTGGTACTTTTTGAACTTGATAGCTAAAGATTCTAAAATGCATGTTTTATACTGTTAAGTTTTAATCAGTCAGGACAATTTTATGTAACCAGTGATAGTTTATTTTTTTGTATGAATTTTGTTTAGGCTGCAGTGTTTAGCTTTTGTTAACTCCTTACTTTACTCTTTTAAGTTCATTGCTATGTTTAACAGCATACTTACCAAGATATTTAGCATGTAAAACGTAGGGTTTTGATTTTTTTTTTTAATAGCTTCATATTGAAGCTGAGACTTATCATAAACAAGTTGAGTGTCAGGCATGGTATGCTGTATCTTGTTATATAAAACTGTTGCCAGAATCTTAGTAAATACAATGTTTATACTTTTTTTGTCTTTGTATATTAATAACTATTTATGACAAGTTAAATTTAAGTGAGAATTACATTATTGCTTTTCCTATGTCATATTTTACTAAGATTTTGTGCCTCATATGTCCTACTGAATTGTTTACTAGGAATGTTAAAAAGAATTGATAAGTCATTTTTGTTTTATAATTTTATATAATCAGGTAACATGAAATATAATTTGATATACAAATAAAATGAATACTATACATGGCAAAATTTTCCTTTAAAAATTAATGATAGATAGTCTTTCCCAGACAAACAAAAACTGAAAGAGTTTGTCACCATTAGACCTGTCTCACAAAAAATGCCTAAGGGAGTTATTCATATTGAAATAAAACCATGCTAAAACAGCAATGCAATGGATATGAAAGCATAAGTCCCACTGGTAAAGGTAAATATATAGACATATGTAGATTAATGTTAACATTGTGATAGTGGTACATAAATTACCTTAAGCCTAATAGAAAAATTAAAAGATTAAAATTTGTTAATGGATGCACAATATAAAAAGAAGCAAAATCAGACTATAAGAACACAAAGTGTGTGTAGGGGAAATAAGTTTAGAGTTTTTATATGCAGTTGAAGTTGTTTTAAACTTAAAGAGTAGGTTGTAACTATAAGATATTTTATACAAACATTGAGCTAACCACAAAGAAAAAGCCTGTAATAGATACAATAAAGATAAAGATGAAATTATTCAAAGCAAATCCCTATTAAAAATAATCACATAACAAAGGAAGACAGCAAGAGAGGAAGAGAAGGATAAACAACTATAAAATAGAAAACAACAAAATGAAAATAGTAAGTACTCACTTATTTGATGAGAGGTTTATTATTTAAAATATATAAGAAACTCTTACAACTCAGTAGTGAAACAAAACAAAACCAAAAATAACCAGAGTAAAATATGAGCAAAGAACCTGAATAAACATCTCTCAAAAAAAAAAAAAAAAAAAGACATATAAATGGCCAACAGGTAAAAATGAAAGGTGCTCAACTCTATTGATCTTTAGGGATATGCCTATCAAAACCACAATGAACTATCATCTCACATTTGTTAGAATTGGCTATTATCAGAAAGACAAAAGATACAACATACTGGCAAGACTGTGAAAAAAAGGAAATCTTTAGAGCCAAGCATGGTGGCTCATGCCTGTAATCCTAGCAGTTTGGGAGGCAGTGGTAAGAGGATTGCTTGAGGCCAGGAATTCAAGGCCAGCCTGGGAAACTTAGCAAGACTCCATCTCTACAAAAAGATTAGGAAATTAACCAGGCATGGTGGAAGGTGCCTGTAGTCCTAGCTACTCAGGAGGCTGAGACAGGAGGATCAGTTGAGCTCAATAGGTTACAGTGACCTATGATCAGGCTACTGCACACTCCTGCCTGGGTAACAGAGCAAGACTCTTATCTCAAAAAAAAAAAATTAACCTTTATTCATGGTTGGTGGGAAGATAAGTTGATACAGCCATTATGGAAAACAGTATGGAGATTCCTCAAAAAATTATAAATAGATCTGCATTATAATCTAGCACTCCTTGTTCTAAATATATGCCCAGAGGAAATTAAATCAGAATCTTGAAGAGATATTTGCTCCTCCATATTCATTACAGCATTATTCATAATAGCCAAGATATGGAAACCACTTAAATGACTATAAATGGTATAAATGGATAAATAGATAAAGAAAACATAGCATATATATACATATGTATATGATGTTTAATATAATAGTTTTCAACCTTAAAAAAGAAAATTTTGCCAATATGAAATAGCCTGACGAACCTGAAGGACATTATGCTAAGTGAAATAAGCCATAAACAGTAAGACAAATACTACATGATCTCACTTACATGTGTTTTTTAAAATAGTCAAACTAACAGGAGAGAATGGAATGGTGGTCCAGGGACTGGAGTAGGGGGAAATTGGGAGATGATATTCAAGAGGTACAAAGTTTCCCTTATTCAAATAAGTTCTGGAGATGTAATACACAACAGTGTGAATGTAATTAACAATATTGTATTTTATATTTGAAATTTCCTAAGAGGATATATCTTAAGTGTTTTCACCCACACAAAAGAAGAAAAGAAAATAGTAAATATGTCAGGTGACGAAAATTTAATTAGCTTCATTGTGGTGGATGTTTCGCAAATTATACATATATCAAATCATCAAGTTGTACACCTTAAATATAAACAATTTTTAATTGTTTTAATATATTTTTACAAATTAGACATTTTTCATCAAATATTACAGAACTCCCATGGCTAGACAACGTTTCAAATCTCTGATTATACTGTGATTTCTATTATTCCGCTTCACATTTTCTCACTTATATTAAAATTAATTGTATATGTCTGTTTCCCTCATGGAATTGGGAACCCCTGGAGGGAAAATTAACCATATGTTCATTTGTTTTGTAAACTACTCCAGATACTTAGACTGCCTGTATCAGAAATTTGAGAAATCCATTTGACTAATAAAGTCTTAGAAATATTATAAAAGTAAAACCCTGCTATTATCACTATCATTTCCTAAAAAAATAGGAGATTTAACAACCATTATCTCCTAAAAAAATTATCTTAGACTTTTGGCTCAAATTGTTTATTTTACCCAACATTAACATTAACTTTGCATAAATCTCTCTTAAAAAAATTTCCCTTCAATTTATGAAAATGTAATAAGCTGGGTGTCTGGGAGCCACTGTTCTGGTTAAAATTTATTTATGTATTTATTTATTTTGTGTTTTGTTTTTTTTTGTGTATGTGTGTAGGGTCACTAATCAGGCAGAGTACATAGCAGATAAGGAGAATGTCCTGACGATCCCTTCCCTACTGGAGAAAAACATAAGAGAAAGCGAGACCTCGAATATGAAACTGTCCAGTACTCTTGAGAGATTAGCTCTTCACAGCTTGAACGAGCATTCTAGTGCCATGTTTAATACTGGGGTGAGCATCTTCATTAAAACATAGAATGCTGTTATATAATCAATGAGGTACATTTGATTTTCATATTTGAACTCAAAGGAGAGCTTGGAATTCTTTAGTCATAGAAGGCCTAGCCATGTAAGGAGTAGTTTGTAAAGCAATCCAATTAATTTTCAAATTCAAGTGTGAAATATTATAGATAAAAATCAGATTTTTGCACTCAACTATTGTTATTCCTTACACTTATCTGAGCCTTCAAAATGGTTAATTGATTCAGAGTTGAGAAAGGATTCTAGTAAGAGTTATTATCACTACTGAGGTACATAAAAGACATTTAAGTTTATGCATGGGAATACATTGTTACTGCCTAGTGGACTATTTCCTAGTCACGATATAACTTCATTAGCATGGGAAATCTCATCAGATAGCTGAGCATTTCTTTCCTTGTCCTTCTAATTATCTCTTTCCTACGATTTTCCCTAATTTTCTTGACTCTAGGTGATTCTGAGGTGAGGGATATATTTCTCCCAGCTGCTCATAAGCATGCCTTTGCCTCAGTGGTTATCAGCCAGTTGTGAAGCAGGATGCATTTTATACAACTAAAGCGTGGTATTTTGAGCCAGATAGAGCTTTAATCTCTGCTCTATCCTTTACTAGCTATTTGACCTTGGGCAAGTCATCTAACATATCAGTTTTATTCCCTATGAGACTGTTGCAGTGAGTTAGCATTAGTAAAACATGAACTGTGTGAAGTGTGACATAAATCAGGTACTTAAGAGATGTAAGTTCCTCTTCTCTCTGCTTGCTTAGTTCTACTGCTGGATCATGCTTCCCTATTTCTCCCTCTTAAAAAGATGCAGATGAATGAATATTTGGCAGACCAGTCTGAAAAAACTTGTTGATTCTTGTATTAACATATTTTTTCATTCTAGAAATTTATCTAATAACCCATCCTTTAAAGTCCAGGAAGCACTTTTTCCTGCCATTAAGTCAATGTGTCTTATGAGCATATTTTCTCACTACGAATTATGTCCAAATGTTGGGGAAAATAGAATGAGCATATTTTTAAACTGTTCGTTATATATTCAAATGATATGCTCAATCTGTTTTTCCTCAACTTTCAGATACGTTTTCAGATGAAGTCTTTACATTTAAAGTAATGAGTTCCATTGTTAATGTGAAAAAATTATATAATCAATTCCAGATTGGCCATAAAACTGACAAAACAGACAATTATATATTTCATATTCATTTTCAAAATTAACAATTGGACCCATTGGCTTACATTTAGAGGTTGAAGAAAAACAGATTGAGCATATTATTGCAGTTTGAAAATAAATTTCTCCCCTGTTTTCTGACTTTCCTCAATCCTGTAGGTCACTTGAATTAAAACCTAGCAGGAATGGAAACTTGTTATATATGCACATTTTATGTGAATGTTTCTTTATTGAAATGGAGATAGTATTAAATGATAGTGATTTAATAGTAAAAGTATGGAGGTGATATTCTGTACATAGATGTTATGAGTATGTTAATGATAAAAAATATCCTTTTGAGATTTTCTTTATACTTAGATTAGAAGCCAAGCTTTAATCATTTCAGTCAACACATTGCCCAATAAAATTTTGCTTGTTACCTAGTCTACTAACTATGCCTATGTTCTTTTCAAAGATATATATATGTATATATATGTATAAACACACATACATATACACAAGTATGTATATTTTTTATAAGATTCAAAACATTCATGTTAATGAATTTTATTAAAGTTTGAGGCCATTGTAATTCCATCTTTCTCTCCTTTTATCAGTGTACACTTTACATCCAGCAGTTCTATGCCATGCTTACAAAGAGGGCAATTTTCACTAGTCGCAACTGGATTTTGGTGTCAGTACAGATACTGGGATTTCTGGGTGTCTTTTACGTTGTGAGGAATACTAACAAAGTGAAATTTTTTGATATGAAATATGAGGACCCTGACAGGAAAATGGATTTGGGACAATATGGTCAAACCATTGTTCCTTTCTCAATTTCTGGAAATTCTGATTTGACTCTGAATTTCACCAAAAATCTTGAGATCATGCTAAAGGCTACGGAACAAAAACTTCAAGAAGTACAAGGTAAGGCTTTTTTTAAAAAGAAAAAAGACATTTTAATGATACTGATTCTACCAATCAATGAACAAGGTAGATTTTTCCATCTGTTTACATCTTCTACAATTTCTTTTTTTTAGCATTTCATAGTTCTCCCTGTATAAGTCTTTCATATCTTTCATTAGATATATTCCTAGATATTTAATTTTCTTTGGGGCTATAGTGAAAGGAATTGCATTTTTGATTTGAGCTTTGGCTTGACGGTTCTTGGCATATATGAATGCCTCTGATTTGTGTATATTGATTTTGTAACCTGGGACTTTACTGAATTCATTTATCAAGTCTAGGAGTCTCTTGGAAGAATCCATGGGGTTTTCTAGGTATAATATCATATCATCTGCAAAAAGTGAGAGTTTGATCTCATCTGCCCCCACTTGGATGCCCTTAATATCCCTCTCTTGCCTGATTGCTATTTCTAAGACTTCAAGCACTATGTTGAATAGAACAGGAGATAGTGGGCATCCTTGTCTAGTTCCAGTTTGAAGTGGGTATGGTTTCAATTTCTCCCCATTCAGTATGATATTGGCCGTGAGTTTGTCATATATGGATTTGATAATTTTAAGGTAAGAGC